GCGCCAGCCTTTAAATTTTTTAAGAGACAGGGTCTTGCTCTGCTGCCCAGGATGGAGTGCGGTGGCACGATTGTAGCTCACTGCACCCTCAAACTCCTGGCCTCAATTGATCCTACTTCAGCTTACCAAGTAGCTCGGATTATACGTTTGCACCCACCACACCTAGCTAATTTTTAATTTTTTGTAGAGATGGGATCCTGCTATGCTGCTGGTCTTGAACTCCTGGCCTCAAGAGACCCTTCCACCTTGGCCTCCCCATGTGACGGGATTACATCTGTGAGCCACAACGTCTGGCATGCTTGCAAAACTTTCAAGTGCCACAAACCTGGCCCTGGTGGCTACTGGTGCTACCTTGATACCTTGAGAAGACGAGAAACAGGGACAGATGGGGAGTTTTTTTTTTTTTTTTTTTTGAGATGGCGTCTCACTCTGTTGCCCAGGCTGGAGTGCAGTGGTACAATCTCAGCACACTACAACCTCTACTTTCCAGGTTCAAGCAATTCTCTTGCCTCAGCTTCCTGAACAGCTGGGATTACAGGCGCACACCACCATGCTTGGTTAATTTTTGTGTTTTTAATTGAGATGGGGTTTCACCATGTTTGTCAGGGTGGTCTCGAACTCCTGACCCCGTGATCTGCCCACCTTGACCTCCCAAAGTGCTGGGATATCAGGTGTGAGTCACCGCACCTAGCTTGAAGGGAGAGTTTTGACTAGGTGAGGTTGATGGGGCTGATGTACTTAGTGTGAGTTGTCCCTGAGGCAGGGGCCTCAGTTTCCACCTGGAGATGGCATGGCCACCCACTCCCAGAGGTAGTGGAGAGAGGCTTAGGTGACCAGGCTGGGCCAAGCTAGAGCCCACAGAGGTGGCAGGAGGCGAGTGTGGCTGAAGGGAGACAGAGTCATTAGGAACTCAGGTGAGCTCGATCAGGTGAGGCGGTTGGGGGGACACTCCTGTCTGGAGAGGCGAACCTGCCACCTGCCGTAGGCCTGTCCCTAGCTGCTGCCTGCCCCAGCCCCATCCCTGTCTCATCCCTCGTCCCACTCCAACCCCACCTCCTCCTGAGCAGGAGTCAGGCCCTTGGTTGCCATAACAACTGGATCCCGGCAGTAAAAATAGTAACTAATTTTTTATTCAACTTCTTTTGCTCTTGGAGAAAAAGAAAATCCATTTCTGGGCTTGAGTTTCACTTTGGGGGTCCCCTCTGGGGCCCTGAAATTTCCACTGCCAAGGTCTGCTTGAAGGTCGACAGCAGGCCGGGGCCAGGAGGAGGGCAGCGGGCCACGGGGCCTGGACAGGTCCAGCCCCAGCCTCCTGGGAGCTGTGGTTACCAGTGGCAGCCTGGGCCTGGCCGGGGCAGAGGTGTCGCTGGTACCTGGGGACAGGTGTGTGTCCCGGTGCAGTGGACAGTGAGGCCTGGACCTGCGGGGTCAGAGCAAGGGTCGTAGAAGTCAAGGTCAGGGCAGAAGCCATGGCATGCAGGGCTTGGCTTGGCTTACTTCTGTTTGACATCTGTCTCCTGGAGGTCTGAGAAATCACCAGAACAGGAGTTCTGTGTCAGGAAATCAGCCTACGGCCCAGAAAACTGGGCTCAGGGCAGTCCTACCCCCACAGGGCCTGTGACCTTGGGAAGGACCCCTAGCCCATCAACCTCAGTTTCCCTCATCAGCAGGAGGGCATAGGAGGCATTCATCTCTCCTATCCGAGGTCTCACTTGTTCTGTGATTTGTGATGCCCAGCAGGGAACTCATTACCCAACCTGGCTGGGACACGCACGTGCAGACGCCAGACACACAACAGAAACAAGACTTCAAAAATGTGACTGCTCCTTACTATGCACCAGTGCTCAAAAGGTCATTTCTTCTGTTTCATTTCACTGTTTTTCTTCTTCTTTTTTTTTTTCCTCTTTTTTCTTTTTTTGAGAGGAAGTCTTGCTCTGTCACCCAGGCTTGAGTGCAGTGGCACAATCTCGGCTCACTGCAGCCTCCGCCTCCTGGGTTCAAGCAATTTTCACGCCTCAGCCTCCTAAGTAGCTGGGATTACAGGTGTGTACTACCATGCCCGGCTAATCTGTTTTATTTTTAATAGAGTTGGGGTTTTGCCATGTTGGCCAGGCCAGTCTGGAACTCCTGACCTCAGGTGATCCACCTGCCTTGGTCTCCCAAAGTGCTGGGATTACAGCCGTGAGCCACGCGCCTGGCCTTTTTTCTTTTTATTAGAGATGGGGTCTCACTCTATGGCTTAGGCTGGAGTGCAGTGGCGCCATCACAGCTCATTGCAGCCTCCAACTCCTGGGCTCAAGTGATCTTCCTGCTTCAGCCTCCTGAGGAGCTGGGACTGAAGGCACATACCACCATGCCCAGCTAATTTTTAAATTTTTTACATAGATGGGGGTCTCACCATGTTACCAAGGCTGATCTTGAATTCTTGGCCTCAAGCGATCCTCCTGCCTCAGCCTTCCAAAATGCTGAGATTATAGGCATGAGCAGTGGCTTGCCCCACCTGGTTTTTTAAAAAAAAGATAGATGCCGGGCACAGTGGCTCACGCCTGTAATCCCAGCACTTTGGGAGGCCTAGGCGGGCGGATCACGAGGTTAGGAGTTCAAGACCAAAATGGCCAACATGGTGAAATCCCGTCTCTACTAAAAAATACAAAAATTAGCTGGGCATGGTGGCTCGTGCCTGTATTCCCAGCTATGTGGGAGGCTGAGGTAGGAGAATTGGTTCAACCGGGACCCGGGAGGCGGAGGCTGCTGCAGTGAGCAGAGATCACGACATTGCACTCCAGCCTAGGCTACAGAGCGAGACTCCATCTCAAAAAAAAAAAAAAAAAAAAAAAAAAAAAAAAAAAAAAAAAAAAAAAAAAAAAAAAAGATAGATATGTGAGAGAGGATTTATTTGGAGAATTGGCTCTTGTGATTGTGGAGGCTGGGGTTGGAGGCTGAGATGTCCCACAATAGGCTCTCAGCAAGATGGAGGCCCAGGGATGCTGGCAGCATGGTTCAGTCCAAGTCGGAAAGCCTCAGAACCACAGAAGCCAATAGTGTAACTCTCAGTCCAAGGCTGAAACCCTGGGGGGCTAGGGGGATGGGGTATGGTGGGGAAGGCAGGGGAGGGACATTGGCGCAAATCCTGGAGGCAGAGGTTGGAAAACCTGGAGTTCTAATGTCCCATGGCAGAAGAACATCTGGACTCCAGGAGAGAGAGACCATCAGCTACTTTTTTTTTTTTTTTCCTGAGATGAATTCTTGCTCTGTCATCAGGCTGGAGTGCAGTGGTGCGATCTTGGCTCACTGCAACCTCCACCTCCCAGGTTCAAGCGATTCTTCTGCCTCAGTACTTCTCTTGAATAGCTGGGATTACAGGCACGTGCCACCATGCCCAGATAATTTTTGTGTTTTTAGTAGAGACAGGGTTTCATGATGTTGGCCAGGATGGTCTCGATCTCCTGACCTTGTGATCCACCCACCTTGGCCTTCCAAAGTGCTGGGATTACAGGTGTGAGCCACCGAGCCCAGCTTCTAATCCATCATCTGCCGCTTCTAATCCACCATCAGGGTAGTCCAGTGGGCTTTATCTCCTAAGCATTCCTGACCCCTCCTCTGGTCCCCACCTCAGCCATCTGCACCTTACCCCCCAGCCTCCAACCCTGCTGTGGCCTCTGAAAGCATCTACCTGAAACCCTCTGGTCCTCCCCAGTGGGAGTGCTGAAATAAATTAGATGGAGTCACTTGCAATCCCAGCACTTTGGGAGTGCTGGGGCAGATTACCTGAGGTCAGGAGTTCAAGACCAGCCTGGCCAACATGGTGAAACATAGTCTGTAGGAAAAAAAATGCAAAAATTAGCCGGGCATGGTGGCGACGCCTGTAGTCCCAGCTACTCGGGTGTTTGAGGCAGGAGAATCGTTTGAACCTGGAAAGCAGAGGTTGTAGTGAGCTGAGATCCAGCCACTGCACTCCAGCCTGGGCAACAGAGTAAGACCCCATCTCAAAAAAAAAGAAAAAAAGGTGGAGTCCTTTGTCTTTTTCTTTTCTCGTCCTAGCTCCCTGGGGGCAGAGGGAGTGGGTGGAATTATCTTCTGAATGTTTCGTAGAATCTCAAATAAAGCATTGTTATATTAATAATAAGGAACAGAGGGGTGGGGAAGGTGGGTGAAGTGTATGTGCAAAGGAGGGGACTTCCCTCAATTCGGGGACCAATCCTTGGGTTCCCCAGGTGCCAGTGGCATTTCTTTGGCATGGAAGGCTGTCTTCCCTCCATTGGTCCCCAAGGGTTCCAAGCCTCCCTTAGGGTGATTAGTTTTCCAAAGCCGAGAAGCTGGCCCAGGTCTCCTAAGGGAGAAAGCTGGATATTGTACTTGGGAATCCAGTCACCAGATGCAAATGTTCCTGCCATGGGGGTCACAGGGGTCTCTAGAGTCACAGTCTGGGGTAAGAGGGTTTCCTGGAGGCTCTGACCCTTCCCGGGCAGTTCACTTGGTGCCCTTGAGCCCCCAGCCTTGCAGGGACACAGGGTGGTGGTGGGGGAGCGGAGGAAGAGTTGGGAGACAGGGGGAATAGGACCACAGGTAGGCCTGGCTATACTGGGGACGATGGGCACAGTATCCCCTGTCCCTCCAGCCCAACCCGGGCCAGTGGGGACAGAAGGCAGCGGCTCTGTCTATTCTTCACCGCCTTTTTTCTCCTCACTGGAAAAAGTACTGTCGGGGGAGACCTGGGAAAAAGGGGCTGGATTCAGAAGTCCCCCATCCACTTCCCACTTCCTCCACCCCCCACCAACCCCCCCCCACTTTCCACTCCCTCCACACCCAGGTCCCCCACTTCCCCCAGTCCCCCAACTTTTCACTCCCCCATTCTCAGGTCCCTGCTCCCCTCAACCCCCCACTTCCCACGCCCTCCATTCACAGGTCCCCTATTCCCCACCAATAACCCACTTCCCACTCCCCCCAACCCCTCCACCCCCCCCAGTTCCCACTGCCGCCCCTTCCCACTCCCCCACTCTCTCAACCCCCCAACTTTGCACTCCACTCATCCACCCCCACTTCCCAGTTCCTTCTCACTCCCCCTACTACCACTTCCTGTTGCCTACTCCAGTAGCCCCCCCACCCCGCGCTTTCCCGCTCCCAGCAAAGGCAAGAAGAAAGGGGGCCAGGAACAGGGCCGCCCCAGGCCTGGGCGATTGGTGGCTCGCGGGCGCGCGGTCAGGACGCCCCCCGCCTCGCCCCGCCCCGCCCCAACCCCTTACGCCCACTTTCTTACCCCTCCCTCCCCCATTCCCTTGTCCTGCCCACCGTCCCTCTCCCCGGTGGAGGCGGTGGGGTCGCGGGAGGGAGGGGGCCGGGCCCAGGCGATTGGCGGCGCCCGCCCCGGAGCCCCCCCGCGCCCCCGCCTGCTCGCCCTCCCCGCCCCCGCCACCATCTGCTCTGGATTTGGCGTCGGCGGCTCCGGACGCCTACAGCTCCGTCTCCGGCTCGGGCTCTGACTCCGGCTGCGGGTGCCGACCCAGTCCCTCCGGCCCCAGCTGCGCGCCCTCCAACCTGCTGCTGCGGCCGCCGCGTCCCCCAGGTTCTGAGAGGCGCCAGCGCTCTGAGCCCGAGGCCGGATTCCCATGGAAGCGCCGCGATGTTCGCCCCCCGGCTGCTGGATTTCCAGAAGACGAAATACGCGAGGTGAGCGGGGGCCGCGGGGGTCCTGGGGAGGGGGTGCGCATGGCGGTGGCGGGGACCGAGGGGCCGCTTTGGCTCCTGGGCCCTGCTGCCTGGAGCACTAGAGGGGATCAGCGGACCCCTGATCCCCGCCCGAGGAAACCGGGACCCAGGCAGCCTCGTCTTCGCGCTGGAATGGAGTAACCCGGGCGCCCGCGCCTCCTCGCTCCGCAGGGGGCCGTTGGGCTAGTCGCTTCACTTCTCTGAACCTCATTTCCACGTTTGCAAAACGGGGGCTATGGAGTCCCCGTTCCCCGGGCCCCCGTGAGGATGAAGCCAGCTGGTCCTTGCAAAGCACTTTGCACAGCGCCTAGAGCCCAGTTACGCTCGGTCACTTACGCTGGGTCTCTCTTGGGCACTCTTGTTCAAGGGAAAAGGCGTTGATACCACCTCTGTCCACCCTTCCAGCAAGTCGGAGGAAAGAGTAAGGGCTCTTGTCAGGTGGAGAAACTGAGGCTCAGGGCTCAGGACGGGCGGGGGGCACCTGTACATCCTGGACTTTTCATAGTGTGAACTCCGCGGTCCCGGCAGAACCTCGGTTTTGTAAAATGGTAAATAACAGATGCTGTGATAGCTAAGTAGAAGTTAGGCTCCTGTTGCTTGGAATTCCAGCTAAGGGGGTGGGCGTGGGGATGGACCTTTCTCCTTTCTACCTTTCTTTCTTTCTTTCCTTTCCTTTTCTTTTCTTCTTTCTTTAATTCAGAGTTTCACTATTTGTTGCCCAGGTTGTAGTACAATGGCCCAATCTCTTGAAAGGCTCACCACAACCTCTGGCTCCTGGGTTCAAGTGATTCTTCTGCCTCAGCTTCCCGAGTAGCTGAGATTACAGGCGTGCGCCACCACGCCTGGCTAATTTTGTATTTTCGGTAGAGAGGGGGGTTTCACCATGTTGATCAGGCTGGTCTCGAACTCCCGACCTCAGGTGATCGGACCGTCTAAGCTTCCCAAAGTGCTGGGATTACAGGCGTGAGCCAAGGCGCCCCGCCCCTTATTGCATTTCTTTAAGATTTTGTTGGGATGTGTGCTTACCTGGAAGCTGGCATGAAAAATCCCCTCCTAAAGTTGCTCCTTGGTCCCCAGTGGTCTTTGGGGAGCACAGACCGTTCTGGTGGGAGCAGCCCCCAGGACCTCTTTGGAGGGTGCACCAGCCTGTCCTCCAGGTCACCTTCCCCCCTCTGCCACCTGGGGTCCCCTGCCTTCATGAACAGAGGGGCCTGGTGTGTACTGAGGCTTCAGGGATGGTGAGTAGGAGATGGGTTGGCAATATTTTTTCTGCTCACATCAGTGTGGCTTGTTACTTGCAAGTGGTTGTTGAGAATCCCTGGTGTCCCTGAAGTCTCTACAAGTTCTGGTCAGATTGAGCACAGCTTGACAACAGAAGCACAGGGCGAGGATGGTGTCCAGGGTAGCGAAGGCTGGGGGACAGGACTGAGCCCTTCCTTCCCGGTCCGTCTCACCCTCTGTTTCCCCCTGGAGGACACTGTGAGTGTGTCTTTCATAAACTTGGGGAATCCCACCCGGAAATATGATGCACTGGGAAGGACTTGAGGGTGTGTTCCTGCGGATTTTCTTGGCCAGACGGTGGGACTGGACTTACTTTTTTTTTCTTTTGACAGGGTCTCGCTCTGTCACACAGACTAAGGCTGGAGTGCAGTGGCATAATCATAGTTCACTACAGCCTCAGACTCCTGGGCTCGAGTAATCCTCCTGCCTCAGCCTCTTAAATAGCTGGGATTGCAGGTGTGGAACACCACCACGCCCAGCTAATTTTTTTGTTTGTTTGTTTTGAGATGGAATCTCACTCTGTCACCCACTCTGGAGGGCAATGACACGATCTTGGCTCACTGCAACTTCTGCCTCCCTGGTTTAAGCAATTCACCTGCCTCAGCCTCCCGAGTAGCTGGGATTACAGGCGCCTGCCACCATGCCCGGCTAATTTTTGTATTGCTGGGGTCTTGCCATGTTGCCCAAGCTGGTCTTGAACTCCTGGCCTCAAGTGATCCTCTCACCTTGGCCTGCCAGAGTGGGCACTTGGACTTGTAAAGGCTGGCTCCAGAGGATTTTGTGAGACGTAAGTTGGTGGACTGTTCACGGGAAAGGGCGGAGCCCTGGGTTGAAGGCTGTCGATGATGACTTGAAGGAAAGGAGCTCTGAAGTCTCTGCAGCCAGCCTGTGCCTACCCCACACCTGCTGTGTGACCCTGGAAGATGTCTCAACCTCTCTTGACCCCAGTGGGTTGATCTGTGAAGTCAGGAGAGCTGGTCTAAATGATCTCTAGATTTGGACACTCGTGCTACCTGCTCTGGAATTGGAATGGGGATCTGGAGCTGGGGCGTGGGCCAGTCTTTGACACTTGGGCTGATGCGGCTTCTATGAGTGATGGGTCCAAGGAGGAAATGGATCACATGGATTAGTCCTATTTCTGTTCCCTTCCTCGTTGTGAACCCTTACAACTGTACTGTCCACAAATTAGGTCTGTAATAAAGGCTTCTTGATGAAGTATTTTTGTTTTTGTTTTTTTTTTTTTGAGATGGAGTTTCGCTCTTGTTACCCAGGCTGGAGTGCAATGGCGCGATCTCGGCTCACCGCAACCTCCGCCTCCTGGGTTCAGGCAATTCTCCTGCCTCAGCCTCCTGAGTCACTGGGATTACAGGCACGTGCCACCATGCCCAGCTAATTTTTTTTTTGTAGTTTTAGTAGAGACGGGGTTTCACCATGTTGACCAGGATGGTCTCGATCTCTTGACCTCGTGATCCACCCGCCTCGGCCTCCCAAAGTGCTGGGATTACAGGCTTGAGCCACCATTTTTGGTTTTTTTTTGAGATGGAGCCTCACTCTGTTGCCCAGGCTGGAGTGCAGTGGCGCAATCTTGGCTCACTGCAACCTCCACCGCTGGGGTTCAAGCAATTCTGCCTCAGCCTCCTGAGTAGCTGGGATTGCAGGTGAGCACCACCATGCCCGGCTAATTTTTGTGTTTTTAGTAGAGATGGGGTTTCACCAAGTTGGCCATGATGGTCTTGATGTCTTGACCTCATGATCCGCCTGCTTCGGCCTCCCAAAGTGCTGGGATTACAGGTGTGAGCCACCGCACCTGGCTGTGATTTTTTTTTAAAGATAGGATCTTACTCTATTGCCCAGACTGGAATGCAGTGGTGTGGTTATAGCTCACTGCAGCCTCAAACTCCTAGGCACAAGTAATTACCCTGCCCCAGCCTCCTGAGCAGTTGGGACTACAGGTGTGCACCCCCATGCCCAGCTAATTTTTTTTAAAAAGTATTTGTAAAGATGAGGTCCCACTATGCTGCCCAGGCTGCTCTTGAACTCCTGGGCTCAAGTGATCCTCCTGCCTCAGCCTCCCAAAGTGTTGGGATTACAGGCATGAGCCACTGCACCCAGCTGATTGATTGAATGAATTTAATGGTATACTCCAGTGCTGTCCATGAGAAATATACAAGTCACAGATGTAGCTTCATTTTATTTATTTAGTTTTGAGATGGAGTCTCACTCTGTCACCCAGGCTGGAGTGCAATTGCACAATCTCAGCTCACTGCAACCTCCGCCTCCTGTGTTCAAGCGATTCTCCTGCCTCAGCCTCCCAGAAAGCTGGATTACAGCCACGCACCAGCATGCCTGGCTAATTTTTTTTTTTTTTTTTTGAGATGGAGTATCGCTGTTGTCAGCCCAGGCTGGAGTGCAGTGGCAGGATCTTGGCTCACTGCAACCTCAGCTTCCCAGGTTCCAGCAATTCTCTTTCCTCAGCCTCCCGAGTAGCTGAGATTATAGGTGCCTGCCACCATACCCAGCTAATTTTTGTATTTTTTAGTAGAGACGAGGTTTCACCATGTTGGCCAGGGTGGTCTCAAACTCCTGACCTCAGGTGATCCACCTGCCTTGGCCTCCCAAAGTGCTGGGATTATAGGAGTCAGATACCGTGTCTGGCCAGCTTTAAATTTTCTAGTAGACATTCAGTTTAATGTGTGCCTAATATTCCATCTTGTTATAAGAAGGTAAAAATAAACAGGTGAAATTTTTATAATTTTTAGAATATATCAACATGCAATCAATATGAACAAATTATTTATGAGGTATTTTATATTTATTTCCACCACAAGTCTTCAGCATCTAATGTGCATTTTATACTTACAGCCCATCTAATTTGGACTTGTCAATTCTAAGTACTCAATAACCAAATGTGGTTCGTGTCTACCATATTGATATCTTCTGTGGCGACAGTATTCCAAATTAATGCTGTGTGACATTGCGAAAGATGCTCTCCTTGGAGCCTCTGTTTCTCAATGGATGGATGGGCCAGCTAATTCCTAGGTTCTATCCTAGAGTCTTTGATGTAAGTAACCATCTGGTCACCTGGAATGGTTTTTGTACGTAAAGAAACTTTCACATCATAAAGCTGTAAGAATTAAGACAGTATGGTGTTGGTGCATGGTTGGACAAATTGACCAGTGGAGTAGAATAGAGAGGCCTGAAACAGATTCATGCATGTAAAGGCATTTTAAGCTGTGTGTAGTGGCACATGCCTGTAATCCCAGCTACACCTGAGGCCAAGACAGAAGAATCACTTGAGGCCAGAAGTTTGAGAACACTCTGGGCAACATACCAAGATCCTATCTAAACTTTTTTAAAGGCATTTTATTTTTACGAAAGATGGTGTTGTTGATAAACCTAGGCAAGGATGGTCTATTAAATATATAGTACTGAGACAATTATCTATTCAGATGAGAACAGTGGAACAGGAGCCCTACCTCACACCATGCAGAAAAGACACTTCTAGAGGGATGAAAGATGTAAATGAAATAAATAAAAAACTTGAAAATTTTGAGAATCTATAAAAATAACTTTTGACTTCAGGATAAGTAAAGATTTCTGAAGGTACATAAAGTACAAAATGTTAAAAAAAAGATTGATGAACTTGACTACATTAAAAATTAAGTTTCAGACTGGGGAAGGTGGCTCATGCCTATAATCCCAACACTTTGGGAGGAAGAGGTGGGAGGACTGCTTGAGCCCAGGAGTTCGAGACCAGCTCGGGCAACATGGCGAAACCCCATCTCTACAAAAAATACAAACAATTAGCTGGGCTTGGTGGAGCGCGCCTGTAGTCCCAGTTACTCAAAAGGCTGAGGTGGGAGGATTGTTTGAGCTGGGGATTGAGGATGCAAGTGAGAGGAGACTGCGCCCTGCACCACAGCCTGGGTGGCAGAGGGAGACCCTGTCTCAAAAAAGAAAAAAAAATACATAAT